GGCACCGTGTCCCGCCCGCCTCGCTCCCTGCCAGCGCCCTGCTGTCCCTCCACTGGTGAGCACTGTCCCTCGGGCCCTGCCCCAGAGCCGAGCCGGGCTCCTTGTCCCCTGGTGCCTGCCAGGGAGCTGGCACTGGAGAGCAGCCAGGGTGCAGCAATGTCCACGAAGGGCCTGGGGCAGGGGGAAGCCCCAGCAGGAGAGCAAGGCAAGGGCAAAGAGGTTTCCTGCTTTGCTGAATGAGCTCAGGGTGGCACAAGAGGCTTGTTCCTCATCACCCTGGAGACTTTGCACAACCGACTAGTTAATGCTCAAGTTGGGGTCTTGCCAGGACTATTATTCTGTGCAGCAGGACATCATTAGCTCCTGCAAGGGGTCGGAGGAAGGAGATGATTAGTTCCTGGGGGCGACACTACCGGCTCAGCTCTGCTCCAGCCAAACCCTGGGACAATAAGAGCTCAGCTCAGCCCGGCTCAGCCCAGCTCAGCTCGCCCCGCAGGCTCCCTGTGCTGTGCAGGACCACCTTTGTCTACACAAAGTGAGTTTTCTAACAGGGATTCAGATCTCTGTGCTCCACTTATATAACCTTTTTCCTCTAGAAAAGACTTAGCTGAAAAAATAGGTAAAGAGCACATTGCGGTAGCAGGACGGATGTGTTTTGCTGGAGCCCGGTCTGGCCCTGCAGAGTCCCTGCTCCTCAGCTCCCTCCCTGCTGTGCCCACCGCAGCCGGGGCTTGGTGGCTCAGAGCCTCTCCTCCGAGCGGGCAAAGGTGATCTCCAGGCGCCCTGAGGACGCTGGCTAGCCCCGCGGTGGGGTCACAAAACCAGCAGACAGGCAGCACTGTGAGGGTGTCCCCAAAGCCGCTGCCTCTGCTGGAGGCGTTGTGCGGGTTCAGCCAGTAGGGATGTGGTGGTTTGGCCCCTGGTGCGGCAGCGAGGGGGAGCTGGCCCCGGGGCTGCAAGCCCTAGAGACACTTGGTGAGGAAGCCCCGGGTCTGGTATCTGACCCACAAAATCAGAGAATGGCCCAGATTGGAAATGACCTTTAAGATCATCGAGTCCAACCATTAACCCAAACTGGACAATTCCTCGACTAAACCAGGTCCCTGAGCACTCTGTCAACACGACTCTTAAAACACCTCCAGGGACAGGGACTCCACCCTTGCCCTGGGCACCCGCTCCAGTGTCTGACAACCCTTCCAGCAAAGAAATTCTTTCTAATAGCCAACCTGAACCTCCCTTGGCGCAAGCTGAGGCCATTTCCTCTCGTCCCATCACTTGTTACTTGGTTAAACAGACCAACACCCACCCTGCTACCCTGTCAGGGAGCTGCAGAGAGCGCTGAGGTCTCCCCTTCACCTCCTCTGCTCCAGGCCACTCCAGGTTTCAGCCGGGGCTGCAGTTAATTCGGCAATAAACACCTGGAAACACAGCGGAGCAGCACTTGTGTGGGCCAACACCTCACCCCCTGCTGCTTCTCCTGCCTCAGATGAAAGGCCACAACTCGACAGACAGTTCACCTAAGCACCAGAATCACAGTCATCACTGAGCAGAAGCTTAGCTAGCACAGACAGAGAACTGAGCTTTGCCTTCAGCAGAAGAATCACCCCTGCAACCTGCCCTCAGGTCAGGGGTGCAGCAGCCTTGCAGCCATGGGCTATGGAGCAGAAATCACTCATCTGGTGCCAACTTGCCCCGTGAACCTGAGCAATTTGCTTTTCTGCCTCACTCTTCCTATCTGCAGCAAGGCAACAAAACGCTTCCTCTTCCTCGCCAACAAGGTCCAGGTTAATGCCCCACTGTGGGCAGTGTGCTCTGGGCACAGGCCCCGGCAGCCGCAGGGCAGGACGGGAAAGCTGCTGCCTCGGGGTGGCCAGACTCTGCTGTCCCCAGATCCTGCTGTCCCTGGACCCTGCCAGCCTCATCCCGCGGGCAGGAGGAGCTCTGCCGGCCCAGGGTGGCAGCCCCCGGGCAGTGCCGGGCAGGGGCTCAGGGAGCTATTTTGGTTCCTGGCTGAAGGCTCTGGTGTGGCTTTGCTCCTGCCGCAGAAGCAGATCTGGGCTGCTGAGCTCATGGAAAGGATTTCTGAGCACTAATTCTCTGTTACACAACAAACCTATTTCTCTCCGACCCTGAGCAGGAGCTGCCCTGCCCACACCGGCTCCCTCTGCCAGCCCCCCCTCCCCAGCACCCTCTCTGCGGGGACAGAAGCCAAGCAGGCCCCCGAGGTGGCCGAGAAGAGCAGCCCAGCCCATGGGACGTTCCTGCTCCTCAGGAGCCCGGCAGACTTCCCACCGAGTCCCTGGAAAGCAGCAGCGAGGCAGAGTCTGCCTGGGAGGTTCCTCACTCTGGGCACTGCCCAAAAGGCAGCAGTGCCTGCCCAAGAAATACCAGAGGGTTAAATCCATAAGCTGTCAGCCGCCTTATCAAAGCAGCTTTGTGCACTTTGTGTTTCTAACCAAAGCTGAGACTGTTTTCAGCAAAGACTAACTGTTTGGTAGCGTTGCTGCGATGCCGTCAGGAGAGGAAGAGGAGGCAGCGAAGGTCCCTCTTTGGGAATCGGGCTGTATGTGGGGCCTTTTGTCTCAGGACTTCGGTAGCTACAGTCACAGGTGGCTCAAAAAAAAAAAAGGCAGAATAAGTGTAGGAAACCCCAACCGGGATCTCCCTCACTTTCCCACACCCTTTCCAAACACGA